GAGGAGAGGCTGAGGGAGCTGGGCTTGTTCAGCCTGGAGAAGAGAAGGCTGAGAGGGGACCTTAGAAATGCCTCTAAATATCTGCAGGGTGGGGGTCAGGAGGACGGGGCCAGACTCTTTCCAGTGGTGCCCAGCGACAGGACAAGGGGCAACGGGCACAAACTGAAGCCTGGGAAGTTCCAGCTGAACATGAAGGAGAACTTCTTCCCTCTGAGGGTGATGGAGCCCTGGCCCAGGCTGCCCAGGGAGGCTGTGTAGTCTCCATCTCTGGAGATATTCCGGCCCTGCCTGGCCGCGGTGCTGTGCAGCCTGCTCTGGGTGACCCTGCTTGGGCAGGGGGTTGGGCTGGGTGACCCACAGAAGTTCCCTTCCAACCCCGACCATGCTGTGATCCTGTGTTTGGGTACCGATGTGACACCCCGTGGAGACGCCATGATCTGAACCATCGGTGTGGCCAGGGACGTGTCCTGGGGAGCCGGGGCATCTGCCTGAGAGGGAAACACAAACTTCACGAAAAAGTGCGTTCTGCGTGGACGGGCAGCGTGGTTCAGAACACAAAGCGAATCCGCCTTTGGCATCGAAACAGCGCTGCGGAGAGGCGCGAGAGCCTGGCGGCATCTCCCCAAAGGCGCTTGGGGGTTTGCAGTAGCTCGAGCATCGTTGATCTATTCTCACTCCCAAGTTCCATCACGCTTCAGAGCAGAGCGTTGCAGCCCGGCGTGCTGAGGGTTTGCAATAAAATCTTGCAGTTTGGGTGCAGCTGTGGGAAACGGCATTTTTTGGGGGGGTGATACTTGAGCCATTTTAAGGTTCGAGACAGGAGGGAGCCCGTATCCCAGCCGGGGGTGGTTCTGGCACAGCATCTCCGTGCGATGGGGCTCATTCCTCCCCCAGCCTGTGATTTTCGTTATTAATCCGGAGTTATTCATTAAGCACCGGGGACACGCAGCCGGCAGCAGGACAGGCAGCGCTGGGTTGCTCCGGGACAACGTCGATCTCCCCGCACGGCTCATGGGGCTGCAAAAGGGCCGAGCTCCCCTTGGGGCTGTGTTTCCCAGCAGGACAAGACCCGCCCCGACATGGGGACACCCGGGGTGCCCAGTGTCCCCCAATCACTCCGCCTGGTCCACAGCAGCCAGGCCGTGCTCCTGCCATCACCACCGGGATGGGCACCTTCCCAGTGCATGACCAGGGTGGCTTTGGCGAAAGCCTTGATATCACAAGGCTGTTGTTTATTTTCAAAGGCTGCCCCAGAGGTTTGAGGACCAAAACGAGAGCATGCGTGATCCAGCTCGGGACCATGTTCCTCCAGCCGTGCCTCAGTTTCCCCCAGGGATGACACTGACTCAGCGCTCTCCAGGGAAGCAGCTGGCTGATGGCTAGGGTGGACTCTGAGTACACAAATACCAACAGGCGGTTTAAAAGCCACAGGGTTGTCTTCATCCCCAGCATCAGGCTTCGCTTTTGTGCCTCATGATCAGGTCTGATCAGTGGTTTGATTTTGGGGTCCCTGGGACCCCCAGGCCAGCCCTGCCAGAAGCACTTGCTGGCGGCAAAGCACGGAGAGCTCTAGGGCACAGGCTTCGGAGATTTTTGTGGCCTGGAAGGGAAAGATGGAAAGGCTAAAAACTGCGTGCTTCAGATCTGAAAAGTCACTTTTGTTTTAGCGAAGTTGCTGTAATTTTTCAGCTTCCTCCTCAAATCCTTCCTGAGAGATGTATCCCTGCACCCTAAGTCACAGAATCCCCGAATCCCAGCATGGCAGGGGTTGGCAGGGACCTCTGTGGGTCACCCAGCCCAACCCCCTGCCCAAGCAGGGTCACCCACAGCAGGCTGCACAGCACCACGGCCAGGCGGGGCTTTTTTTTTTGAGATCGCCACAGCTTCCCTGGGCAGCCTGGGCCAGGGCTCCGGCACCCTCAGAGGGAAGAAGTTCTTCCTCGGGTTCAGCTGGAGCTTCCTCTGCTTCAGACTGTGCCCGTTGCCCCTTGTCCTGTCGCTGGGCACCACTGGAAAGAGTCTGGCCCCGTCCTCCTGACACCCACCCGAAGATATTTAGAAGCATTTAATAATCTACAGAGCAATAAGTATATATTGATATAGAGCTTATATTCTATAATGGAGTACATTCTTCCCAGCAGGTACAGGATATCTTTGTACCCCACCAAGCCTGTGTGGGCTAATTGCTTTAATTAGGGATAGATTAGAGAGGAACAAACACTTCCCAGTCCCTTTATGCAATGACACCGCTTACACCCACATTTGGGGCCACCTTTCCAAGGATCAGCTCGCTGAGCAGACGGCACCGAGGGCGCGATGCTGCGCCCGCAGCGATGGGCGATGAACCGGGGCTTCGCTGGCGCCGGGGCGATCGCTCTCCTCGCGTGGATGAAGCCCGGTTGCCGGCAAAACGCGTCTTGCTCTGCTCTTCATCCCAAAGCCAAATCTGTTTTGCCTTAATGACGGAGCGGGAGCAGCGCCGGTGGGATGGAGCAGCTGGGGGGGATCGATGGAGCGTCCAGTCTGGTTTCCTAGGACAAAGCCTGTCCTGGGCACGATGAGGAGAGGAAGATAAATTTCATTTGTATTGACCAAGAATCAGTTGTTTTAAAAGCAAGCAGATGACAAGATTTGGATAGATTTTCGCTTCGATTTTCCTCTAATTAGAGCCTCTGAGTTGACTGTGACTTTCCTTACAGTTTGGTTTTGAGCAAGGCTCCTGTTTTCCTT